GCTGCAGTAAATGTATTATTAGGGTTATGAATGTGAATATGGAATTAATATCGATTTGGGGGGAAAGTAAATGTATTTGACAAATACATTTGAAGTAATACACCGATGGTTGGCTTGTGCCACTGAGTATGCGATATTTTTTTTATGTTTTTCTTTTAAACTAATATTTGTTTTGACAATGCTGCGTTGTAATTCTAACACCAGAACAAACGAGTCAATTTAAACGGTTCTTATATTTTGTAGGTGCTTCTTGAACCCAGCAATTTTTATTATAAAGAAGACACCATAGTACTGGAAGCTCGTGTTACTGCAAATGTCCCCCGTGATATTTACACAGATTACTAAGATATCGAGTAGCACCTCTCTGTATTGTAAAGTTGTCAATGTATCTAATGTCACGTTCTCGCCTTCTGACCATTTCACAACACTTCAATTCATTAATTCAATGACGTTATATTAGAATTATTATATTATTATGTGCATAAACAAGTGATACAAATAAATTCACTACAATGTATTATATTGATGTGTACAATCGTAATTGGCCTAATACCTAACGCATTTTGTTTTGAAGGTAAGCATCCGATGCTGACTGGTCCTAATGTAATACAACCATGTGATTCAGACGAGTATTTTATTGTGTTGTTAGTTAATACTTTTATATATCAGCAAGCTGAATTAAAGTGTTCATGATTGACATATAAATTCACGGGTTAATTGTCTGGTTATTGAGTAGATGTTATGTTGGAAATAGTATTTTAAGATTTCTTCAGGTGAAGGCGACAATGACACAAACAACACAACGTTATTCGATGACCGTAACAGGTCTTAAATACAAGCACGTGTTGGATCTTAAGTATTCGCAGATATAATTCCCTATGGGATTGGTTAGTTATGATATATGACCTTGGCCGTGATTGGTAAAAATCTGATAAGCCGAATCTCAAATTATCAGACTCTAGTGAATGGAATGTTAAAGCAGGGGAGTCGTCACCTGCGCATGCGTCAGATGGCCTTAGCGTGTTATTGTTTACAAACAAGCGTCTACCCATGAGCCTTTGCGTTTTAAGCGTGTGTTGTTATCGTCGCTTGGGACTCAATTCCCGCGCGTACGCAGGTGACGACACTCCCGCTTTAATCTAGGCTTCCGAATAAGGAAATATTCCCCGTGATATTTGCACACGTTATGTATATGTCCATGTCCAAAGAGCCAGAGCGTGTGTCATGTGATATGTAATGTCGATTATTCTCGATCATTATGTGATGGCCTCGATTGATCACGGGTTATGAATAACCAACAGTGGTTAATTTTTACATTTTTGTATTATAGCCATTTAAGCATTGGAGCCCATTTAAAAGAGTTACATTTTAGCTTTTACGTCCAACAAATCTCTGGTAAACTAAATACTTATGTCGCATTTTAGTATCTGACTTGGTTTCGCAATATTGCCTTTAGCCATGAGATCCCAAGTTAAAATACCACATCAGTCGCATTTACTAGAGAGCGTGGTTGATTTCATGGATATGTACCAGAATGCAATACTACGAGGTTGAAGACGATGCAGTTGATGAGTTGGTTGACGACAGGAAAGTCGACGAGTAGGCTGACGACAGGGCAGTTGGTGAGTAGGTTGACGACGACCGTGTTTAAATGCATCATCAAATGAATGTACAGTGTGTGATGTATATGTGAAATTGAACATGGTCGAGCCAGAATTATCAAGAGATATAGGTACAGACGTAAATTTACTTCTTGTTTCTCATTTAATTTTAATCTACGGTCCCTTATAGAATATGAATTCCATGAAAGTTCCAAAATAATGCAACAATTATACCTCAGCAAATTTCAGTAGAAAAAATATTGGTGAAAAAATTGGTCAAATTTTGCTGGAAAATGAATTTATACTACGTACGACAAATACCTGACTCCATGGTGTTATAAATTGAATAAATGCTGAGGGTATGTATCAATACTTGTATAATAACATTTTATACCTTCAGTAGTACATGTTTTATATTAATCCCATATTAATAACATTAATCTCATGAAAACTTATAGAATATGACATAAATTTCATGAACGTTCCCAAATAACAATATACTTTGGCGAGAAAAATATAATTTTCTACATATAACTTATGCAGATTTGTCACAGTAATAGATGTTGGAGAGTATATGACAGACATCTTTTCACTAAATAGCAGTTTAAATAAATGTACTTTTTATGTCTATTTGTTTAAAATTTATTTATCCAAATTTTCACACATTCTTCGAAAACTATACATAATATTCACAACCACAAGAGACGAGGTTTTAAGACAAGAACAATGAGGAAAAGACATACACCCTTCTCATAAACCTTTCCTTTATCTAAAGATACAGGCAAGGTAAAAATAAAAGTACCTATTATCGACATTCCTTGTATACCTGTATGGGTTTTTTTCTTTACTAACTTGATTTGAACTTTCAAGTTAAGCTAGTCTTATCAGTATCCAATTGGCATGCATCTAATTACATTCAATTACAAACTCCACCTGTTCAAGCAAATGAGGCAAATATTTATCTCCATAAATATACGAGCCAGCTATTATACCAAACCTGAACTGCATTGATATTATATACTGGTTAATAGTATTGAGAAGGTTGAGAAAAATTGAACAAAATATACTTGAATTATCCTGACCACAAGAAGTGTTAACGACAACGCCGATGAAGATGTTATCCAACATTGTATCGCATATGATAAGTGCGTGTTAGAAAATTTGCTCTAGTTTCTAACGTTATTTAAATTGATTCAATTGGGTGCGTAATTACCCTGAAAATATAATGCATAAATATTGCATATTTGCAACACGTTTTGTTGGCTATTAGGTGTTGGCGACAAAATAGAGAACTTACCTTGTTTGTCCCTACGAGAGCAACCTAGTAGCGAACTTGCTAAATGAATGATACATGTCTTATGATTGGCCAGACGCTGTATTTTTGTTTCTTTCTACCTCCTTTCGTTCACATTCTTTGTCTTGATTGGCTGAACGAAGGCGACGAAAGATTTGCATATTCATTTTTCAGATTGGCTGCATAGAACGTACATCCGATTGTCGTTCTGACATCTTGTTTTCTGTTAAGATTTTATTAGTACATGTATGTTTGCAAATGTGTATGAGACAGTGAAACAATTCTCTACATGAGTTGACATTGAAACTTATTCTAGTATTTCCATGGGATTTGGGAGATACATTACCAATTACATTATTACAATGATTTACTTCATTGAACACAAATAACAATGCTTATTCCCACTGGGACCAGTTACCTTTGAATGTGCATCACCAGTGATCAGTCAAGTAGAAGCAGTCAAAATGTTTTATCAGATATTGACATTTGATATTTTCATATAGGACGTCTGTCGTTCACACTAAGGAAAGATTTTATACGGATGAATTAGGTGACCATGTTTAATTAACAAAAACAAAAAAATCAAACGCATTCCAGAAGCTTGTGGCGTGGTAAGGGAATTATGATTATTAAAGATGCAATATGAACAAAAACTGTAGACTACATGTGACTATGATTTTATCATAAACTAAACATGTTACGTTACACCACAATATTCATTAAATGTAAAATCAAAACCACTAATGCACATGTGTAATGTTTGTTATTGCACTCACTAAAACAACCAGTGCGCATGCGTGTTAGTGGTTTAATCAAACCAATACTAACAGCGTTTATATGTAATAATAAATCATAGTCCAAAGTATTCGTCAACTTATAGTTACAAACAATAATATTGAAACTATTGCAACTGTAAGTTCAAACGTTCCGTTTTTCACATATAGCTTCTTTAGCATAAATATGAAATTTCATCGTGTATGTCATGTTCGTAGAATTACAGCAGAAAGGTTGACATTAGATGAAAGTTTACAAATATCCAGCTATACTAATATACAGTTTGTCTGATTAACTGAAAAATGAAACAAATAAAATATAGTTTCAAAATAAAGTGCGTCGGAACTTCGACTTTGTCGACTTTGAAGTTAATGTATTATGTCCAGTACCAGCCAATTGAGTATAAGGTAAACACATCATAATGACAAATTAAATAAATGCCAGTCAGTCAGTCAGTAAACCTACTTTTTTACTTATTTTTTACTGGAACATTTAATTGATGCTTCCATAAATGTTGAGGACATTCGTAAATCAGGATTACTACTTCAAAAAAAACCATATCACAATGTATTTTATTTCGATATATGTAAAATAATGAACTGGTAATCAGTAACATAGTAACGATACCGGGAATATATGGGTGGAACGTTTAAAAAAAGGTACGTGTAGTACATGTAATTTTCAGAAATATTCACTTTTCACTTATTTCGACAACATACAATAGAATACAATTGCATTATCTGTCAAATATTAATATCTGATAATAAACCGATTTCAAATAATTCTTCCCACATGTTGTATGCGTACATACCTCTATATACACGACTTAGTCACTAGTAAAACTGAATATTGGTTCGTGTTGTTCAAATAGAATCAAGTACATAGCTCACATATACAGACGATCACCTACAAAAACATACTTTTTTATTTTGTAAAACCCAATGTGTAACAACAATGTTAAACTGCAGAGTAAGAAGATCACGGAAGATACACATTAAAGAGGAAATGTGGATAACGGATTATTTTTTCTAGCAAGTTTAAATAATCGTGTTTCATATTAGGCCAGACATTTATTATCCCTTGTTTCGCGAACCCGCCGAATGAACAGGAACCGAAAATGAAATAAAAATAAAATTTTACTTCAGCGTAATTTCTCGCGCCCGCCGACTTGTAAGCGCATAAAATTGCTAAAAAAATATTATTTTTATCTTCATTGCATTTTCCATGTTCAAGTAACTGTCCATCTACATGAATTGTTAACAAGTAACATTTAAAAAAACAGTCGATAATGTAAAATATACGAGTTAGTGAATCGTTCTACTATATCCATATTAATAGCACTCAGCAAGCTTCAGTCTAAATACCCCGTCATAACCCATGCAATACGAGCATACAATATTGATGCTGTCCCATTTTACTTCAATTAAATCATGCGTGTTATCTTGTGCTTTAGTAACTGTTCCCTTGCCAGGAGGATTACCGTCGTCCTGAGATCAAATATGAGAAATACAATGATATAGTTAGTAGTATACATCAGAATAAATTAATACATAATTCTATAGGATGTATTTGGTCATACCATGCAACCATGCATGTTTCGCATAATTTATATGAAGACTTGTCAAATCCATGACATTTATGTGAATATATTGATTTTAAAATCACCCGCTGTTTTGAAATTGTTAGCAAACTGTTTCTTTTTTAACAATATTTCATTATTTCTGATCAATTAGTTTAAACACGTTCCGTGACTGACGGGGTATATTTTGAACTGTTATTACAATCTGTTATAACTCAGACATTAATTCCAAAGTGATTTTTCAGACTTATATTAGTATGTATAAACATTTTTTTTTCTGAATATTTTTCCCAGGATCACGGCACTACACTTACATTTTGTCACAATATATTTTAAAGAAGAAAACAATTATAGTGCATTGAGTTTGTTGTTGCAATTTATACTTGCCAAAGCGGCAATTGATACTGTCGGAAAACGTGTGGC